ACCCAACCGTTTTCACCAGTTCTGAGTCGTTCCAGTGAGCACAGATCCTAAAAACAAGCCTGAGCTGATCAGTGGGCTCTGAAGAGAAAAAGGATGGGCTAATGGCATCAGACACCCCTTTACATACTTTACATACTCCACACGTACAGTCGGAAGTCCACTAATATTCCACTACATTTGGGCAAGATACTGAACCCCAATTTGCTTTTGAAGGCTGTTCCATAGGAACCTGCACCATGTATTGTAGCCTCGGCCACCAATGCTTAAATGATGGATGTGTCATGTATTGTAAAAAGCACTTTGAGTAGTTGGAAGACTAAAAATGCTACACAGTTGCAGTCCATTTACCATCTACAATTATGCAAATTTCAGTGGGGGAATACATGCTCATGATTGGCAGAGTATTACCTGTAGAGTCCAGCAGAGAGCAGAGCCTGTCTGAGACAGAAAATGTAGTCTTATATAATGTAAAGTACCTCCAATTCATGATCACCTAATTGTGCAAACATGCAAAAAGCAAAAACCTAGTTGTCACTCAACATTAAAACATGTCAGAACTTCTGGCTTAATGATTTAAAATTGTTGCCGTAACCTTTTCCTGTCAGGGAGGCCTACTGCGAGATTTAAGAGCATCTCTCCTTTTCATCACCCACCTTCTCCTGCTGAAAATAGAGTTCTCTGTATTCTCCCTAACTGGATTTCACACACCGTTACAGCACATACAGCAGGGTGAGATATATTGCCTTAAAATCACACATGGCAGAGACACTTTGGACACTTGGTTAATGATTTCAGCTTGTGATTCTGGTGTCTTTTTTTACTGACACATATAAATTGCCACTTTTTCAGGGTAACTTTATAACAGCACGGGCTGCTATAAAGTTACCAGGCTGTTAAAACACAATACAACAAAGGCTACAGCTGCACTGAAGGTCAAATAATGGGTCTAAATAACAATTGGCATTGTGCACTGATTGGAGCCTCTCCAGATCCCAGCCAGATTAACAGACTAACTTCAAAATAGCAAATTGCACAGGTCTTGGATGTTTTAAGAGCTTGACTCTCTGCGGTTGGGCATGTCATGAATTGTTGGTGCAGGCTGTCAATGGCAATGACAGAGATCTGAAGGAGGGGGGGCTGGCGCTGAGCTATGTAGGGCTGGATCCGTTTATAATCGTACTGACATACACAGTTTCCGTCGGTTAGCTCCAGCCAGACACTGACCACTTCAGTCATGTGCTGTTTGAAAAATAATGAGGAACAAACTGCAGCCGTGACTTATCCAGCACGCACTGATCTGGTGATTATTTTATGCTCTAATGTCCTGTCTCTTCCATGGTGGACTGGGCCACAGTGAGCAGGAGCAAGAGAGGCAGCATGATTGTTTTTCTGTGATTTCTTAATTGTATCTAAAGGATCTTAGATAATGTGTTCTCATGGATTAATATCAACCTGCAACTACATTTCAAAAACTCTCTGTCTGCAACAACCATTAAACAGTCCATGCACAAACTGTTACTGACAGATTATGTTAACATGGGCTACCATTTTGGTCTAAAGCCCACACTGTCTCTGACATCATCCCCATAAATTTTAATCTAATCCTCCAGTTAGCTCATAATGAATTGTGTTTGATTGATGTGGGTAGATTTTGTTTAAATCATGCATGACAACTGGATTATCATCACCACAGTGAAATTATTCTATTCGTGCTCTCACAATATTGTTGGTTTTCCCAACCTGTGGTCGCGGAGCAAAGGCGATCTCACAGCTCATTCAAAATTCACATTGACTCAAAAGTCTGTGCTTTTTATTATGAACAGGAAATTTCTAAACTTGTTGATATCCCTCAAAAGAGATGGCTTTCAAGGTTCGAACACAAATGGACAAATTTTAAAGTATGTGGCGCTGCACTGAAAGCTTAACAAATGATGATGAAGGCCATGACCCTCCTGACATTTGCCACTCTTTGCCTGATTGGTTGCCACTTTTGTCACATGAGATGGATGGCAGCCCATGATTGATATACAATCCCAGAGCTGTAGAGTAACATCTTTACGTTGCAAAGACAAAGGGATGTAATGAAGTAGGTGCAAAGATGATGCAAAAAGCATTAATTCGACACATTGACAAAAAAAAATTCTTCAGAAGAAAACACAAAGGAAGGAATGGATTTGTATCACTTTATTGTTCAATGGCAGACACTGTTCAGCTTAATCAAGCCTTTGAAATGGCACGAGAAATTGTTTTGTCCTCCATTTTAGCTTTCACTTTCATTTTTTTATGGCTGGGTCGCACCATCAAAATCGATTGCAGCACCCGTACATGAATCAGAATGTCCTTTTTAATTCATTCTGTACCGCACCACCCAGCCTCCAAGTTGAGAAAATAGAAAAAAAATACTGGAAAACTGTGAGCATTTAATTAGAGTAATTAATTTAAGATTTATTTATTTTTAAGATTGTACTTTTCAAGGGATTTGATGACATCTAGTGGTGAGGATTGCAGGCTGCATCCAGCTGAAACTTCTCCAGGCTAAAATTCCTTCAGTGTTCAGGAAGTTTTTACCAAGAGCCGAATTATCCACAGATGTCTCCCCTTCTCCACGTTTCACATTACAAATCAGTGTTTCTGTGATGTGGCTCATTGCAGATGGGCTTCCGACTACAATGGTTGATGTGAACCCCTCCAGAAAAACATGAATGCCCTTACACAGAGCCTGTGTTTGATTTGTCTGTTTTGGGCTACTGTAGCAATATGGCAGTGCATGGCGACCTCCATAAAAGAGGACTCACTCCCTATGTAGAAATAAAGAGCTCATACTAAGGTAAGGCAAACACAATTCTTATTTTCATTTCCTTTTCTGCCAATATATCCTCCTAACTCCTACACACTGGACCTTTAATAGAGTAATGCAAACTGTTATTAGTCTTGCAGGAGTGTCAACTAAAGGAATCAGGCCTCCAGTCGGGGTAGTTATGGTTCTTATCTATGGCGCCAGATTTACCTGCTGTCATGAAAGTTAAATGAGCTGTCCAACCGTTACCCAAAGAAATGGCTCACTGTTTTAGAGATTAGGCACATTATCTTTGGTAACAATGATTTGGTGACTTTTAATTGTACACTGTATTTTTAGCAGAACCTCCAAAATGTTGTATTGTTGCATTACTGCTGCAGCCTTCTAAGCACTGAGCATGCTCAAACTTTCTTTGATTAATTGGAAAAATATTAAGACATTTACATCAAGTTTATTTGTGAAGCACAGTCGCATGCTGAAGTGTTTCATGATGCAGACAACACACAGAAATACACACCAACAACATGAGAGAAGCTAAACAGAAATGCATTGCAATATTTTCAAGGCATTAGATGCAAACACAGAATCGCCATACTTGTCCTGTGACCAGAGAAATCATTTGGATTGATTGGCTGGAGGCATGTCAGATTAAGTACGTGCTTTATAGTGTTCTTACAGTTTTATAAGTGGATACACAGGTTACAGGACGCAGTGTAACAAATGTTATTGGAAAGAAAGGGTTATTTAGATCCATCCAACATTTGTATGTGGGGCCCATGTGGGTAGTAAAAGAGTTGAAAAATGGGCCCTGTATGGGATTGTCCAAGGGTTCCATAACTGCCCACATTGGTGGATTTACTGAAGTGACAAGATGCCCATTTTGGGCCCATATACACTTGGTGCCCGGGTAGCCATAGCATAACCCATGTGGGGCTAGTCTCTATATACAGACTCTACATTCAGTGAATGTAGAGTCTGTAGGCAAACCCTGGAGATCTTGCCTCCGGAAGAAGAGCGGAAGAGCCCTGGTTTCCGGTTGTAGGCTGTTTGTAGTCCGCGTGATATTGACCAATCACGTTTCAGCAGGCTGCAGTTGTTGCCAGGTTAAACGGTCCGTGCGGTGAACTAACGAGGCGGAACATAACTGGCGTCACTGCAAACTCTGAATCCATCGCAATGGTTCAGCAACTGGCATTCGGCCATTATGGAACCCATGGACAATCCCATATAGGGCCCATTTTGAAACTCATTTACTAACTTCATGGGGCCCTTTGAATGAGCATCTTAATCAGTATTTGTGAAATCTAAAGGATTAAAACAACTATGATTCTCATATGAATGTAAAGTATGGCCTTTGGAGGCTGCTCCACTCTAAACTGGTTTGCACATAAACTGAATATTTGCTTGTGTTGGTTACAATTTTCATTTCATAACAACGTGAACACCAGAGACACCAACCTGGCTGCCCCTCTGTCTACAAAGTCCGCCTTCATCCAAGTGTGAATGGCAGCTTCACAAAGTGGCACTTAGTGTCATCCTGGATTACTCTCTTAACTTCTGTGTTGCTGACACTTTGCTTTCAGAGAGGCTTCTTCACATAGAACTACACTTCACAGTCCAAGTTCAGACAGAAGCAGCATTCGTAGCAGCAGATTTGAGCGTAATGCTGTGCAAATCCCTCTGATCAGACCAGATAAATGTTCATCATAAACATGTGTCCTGTCACAGCATGTGCGCAGTGAATACTGCTGCGTCATTGGTTGCAATCTTGAATGGCAATTACTGATAATTGCTGAGAATTGCAGTTCCCACTTCCCATCAAACAGCATTGTGGTATTGCAATTTAAACAACTTCAACCCCTCTTGTATAGCAATCATGATTTTCTTAATTTTCTTCATCCCCTCCTCACTAATAATCATCACACTTCACTGAACACGGTCAACGATCCAGGATAAGGGAGGTCACACAAAGGTTGTGTTGTTGGAAATAGCCTGATTAACAGAAGGTCCCAGGCGTGCGACTTCAGCTACTATCATCCACATCCTGATGATGTACACCCACTACAACAACCATTGTCTTAAATAGAAGCACAAAGGCATATCCTTTTATAGACGTCCCCTATTGTAGGCTGTGTGGTTGGGCACTGTAGGGGGGTGGAGGACATGACACCTGTGGACAGTGGATAAAGGGGCCTAACCTCTAATGGGTCACCTCTATCCACAGTGTGCTGGATCCCTCTGCTGTTTCTGTCCTCCACTTTGTCTCTTGAGAGCTTCTTGCGATGGCCCCAAAGAAGAAGGAAGAGCCGAAGCCTGCAGCAGCAGCAGCACCCCCCAAACCCCCAGAGCCTGAGCGCCCCAAGACCCCGGACTTTGACCCTACAACAGTGACGGTAAAACAAGAGAAAAACAGCAATATTAAGCAATGCTGATAAATTCTACTTCTGCTTTAAACTTTAAATATAAAGAGGTTTTTATTTTTATCATAGTCGCATTTCTATTTTTCTTGCTAGAAGATCATTATCAAAAAGAAGGTTTCACAGAAATTGTTCAGTGATAACCAGCCAAGCTTGTGTTTAAAGAACGTCAGAGACCCCATGTGATCTAAACCTGGCAGTGCAAGCAAAACTGTACAGCTGTTTGAATGGATTATGGTTATGCTGGCAATTTGTTTAATAGTTACATTCATTTTAGCTTTTCATCAAACTTCAAACATGCATAATAAACTGTGTTATACAGTTACAGAGAAGCTGTGACTTCTTGTCAGTAGGAGGTTCAGAGGCAAACCAGCTGATACCAGACATCATGGAAAGATCCTCTGCTGACTTGGCCCCTTCTCAATGGATAAATGTTTTCCTGGTTTAGCAAGCTGCCATGTTACAATGGAGTGCGGTTAAAGCCACAAAATATGATTTTCATTATGTCTGTGAACAGCGGACCACCCGCGCCATTCCTCTGAGGGCAAAAGGGGTGGAAAAAGCGGGAGAAAGAAAAATATAGATAATTGCATCCATCGCCATCCATCTTTAAACATGCTTATAAGTGTTTGGATAATATTTTTACTAAGTTTCATGGAGGGGCTGGGGTTTCTAGATATCCAGACATGAAACAGAAACTGAGGGCACCATTTGATCGGAGGCCAAAATATACAGTATAAATAGTCATCATTTGTCGCGGCTATTCAGAGCTATGATTTATTTTTAGACTTATAACATAAGTGGCATACAGATGCAGTTGTTTTTATTAAAGTCTTAAAGCATCTCCATGTGGTGGATGAATTAGCAGCTCTGGTGAAATTAAGTGCATCAGCACTGTGCAGGACATAATCCTTAGGTTGTGACTTCTGCACCTTGTTGAGACTGTATCTTACATCCTGGTGGTGCATACAGTATCAAACGTTCCTTGCGACATATCGCATCTAAAAATAAACTCAAATGAAGCTGATAGTAGCCGACAGGGGAAGGGGTGTTCGACCCAAGGTCACTGATAAACAATGCACTGTGATCAGAGCAGATGCAGACTGTAACTCGATCTGTTGGATTGACATGACAAAGGTGGAGGGCTCACGTCCAGTGGTTTGTTCTCTCTTTTTAAAATTTATTTCCATTGCTGTAAATCCCACTTATTTCTCTTGTGGATTCCTTAATGATCAGCAGCATCTAACTGCCTTATGCGCTTTGTCTCTTTCCAGCTGGAATTTACCCCCGAGCAAATTGAGGGTAAGGTTAAGATTGTTGTTTCAGATGTCATTTGTGTTGCATGGATCGTTCGCTATTTATAGAGGGACTGAGTGATTTGTATGATCATGCTCTCAAGTAGCGTGTGAGAAATGTTTAGCAACAGCTGATGATACAACGGCTCACGGATATTATTTTAAAGTAAACATTAACATCAAAGTAGATCCATTTGAAAGGAAGATGAAGGCACATGTCAGTCAACGTAGAGTTGAACACCTCAGGGTTTGACTCTTTCTGGTTTCCTTTTTAGCAGAGGAGCCTTTTACCTTTTATTTCTTTGAAGCATCTTCAAGGCCTACCCTCAAAGATTCTGCATGCACTCTTGGATCGTAATGAACTGAATAGGAATCAGGAGGAATAGCCTGTTTGTCTTTTTGTTCACAGATTTCAAAGATTCTTTCCAGCTGTTTGACAGGACACCAGGCAACGAGATGAAAATCACTTACGCCCAGTGTGGTGACCTGATCAGGGCTTTGGGCCAGAATCCTACCAACACAGAGATAATGTATGTCCTTGGAAAGCCCAAGCCTGAAGGTGGGTTGTATGCACCGTAACAGAATGCTGAGTGATCTGCCTGCATGTGCGCAGTCAGATCAGTGTTGCACTGTGTTGAATCTGGTTCAAGTATCATCTGTTTAATACAGAGAAAGGTTCAAATGAAGTTCATGACTGAAGCCTGTCCAGTTATCCTTTTCTGTGTAAAAGCCACTTTTTTCCTCCCGCAGACATGCAGACCAAGATGCTTGACTTTGACCAGTTTCTGCCCATGCACCAACACATTTGCAAAGCCAAGGACCGTGGAACATATGAGGACTTCGTGGAGGGTCTGAGGGTATTTGACAAGGAGGGGAACGGCACAGTCATGGGAGCTGAGCTCAGGCACGTCCTGGCAACACTGGGTGAGTAAAAGCCTCTTACCACAAACAGATTTTGCAAAGCTGTCTTTATAAGGATGCATATCGAGCTGACACTCCTCCTGGTTTCTTCCTTATGGACCGCAGGTGAGAAGATGAGGGAGGACGAGGTGGAGCAGCTGATGCAAAACCAGGAGGATGCTAACGGGTGCATAAATTATGAAGCTTTTGTGAAATATCTCATGGCATCTTAAAAAGGGTATTTCATCCTCATTGTCATTCTGGTACTACATCTGTCTGCATTATGAAATCAGTATGAGTGAGTAATGAGTTGGTCTCTCCTTAACTGGGAACCAAGACACTTAATTCTTGACTGCAGAAGATCTTTCCGTTTCTGTAAATCCCATCTTGTATATTTCTCATCTCCATGCATCTCGGATGGGTCTCTAACTCATCAATGTTTCACCTTGTTTTTCTAAGACCAACTGTGTTGATGCTGTGCACACATTGCACCTTACCTACATGCTGTGGATCATGGTGAATAAATAAATTCATTTTGATGCTGTTCTCTTTTTCAAATCCACAATTCAAACCTGCACCACACTTTATTAAAGAGACAATTCTACACACTTTAACTCCAGCACACTGTCAGTAGTTTATTAGAAAAGCAAGTTTTCCATCATGAATCTTTGTCAGGCACTGGAGCTAAAAAACTCTTTTGATTGATTTTATTCTCAGAGAGCTCCTAACTTAGGCTAAAATCTTTAGTAAGGAATCTTCGGAGAGCTTAGGAGTGATGTGACTGTTGCATTTTTCCAGTTTTTCCAAATATCTTAGTGTTGTGATCGTTTTATTTCTGGCGTTAGCATTGGGTGGGAAATGTGTACGTATCCCTGATGAGATCAACCACACATATTATCGCTGCACAATCTAATCTGTAGCATTTCATTAACTCACTGTCATCCAGCGTTTGGAGAATATTCCTCCAACTTCTTTGTCTTTCCACCATTTTCTTCTCTGCTTAAGAAACTCTTAAAAGTCCTCCTCCCTGCTCCTAACAGTTTTTCACCTTAGGAGTTCTTTCAAAGTCTAAGATGCTCTGTGAATAACAATTTCTAAGAAAACGTCACAATTATGATACTTTTTTTTTTTAGAATTTTGTTAGTAGGAGCAACTCTTTGTACCAAGAAGCTGTGTACATGTAAATAAGGCCAGGTGTACAACAGATGAACACAAAAAAGGCAAAATAAAAGACATAGGCACAGGGTAAATTAAAGAAAGAAATGAAAGAAGGCTGTCCCACATAATTATTTGTCTTTTCCTCTACTTTAATCTGGACAAATGAACAAGTTATTTGTGCTTTAAAAAGTGTGAAATTACATAAAAGCATACCATGATAATTTCATATAATTTCAAAATAAAACCTTAAGTACATCATTGTAATTTTGGCTAGGTGAACTTAATAAACAAAATTACCTACAGTAAACAGTCATTTTTCATTTTATATCTTATTTTATTTTATTTTACTTTATTTCATTTTATTTAATTTGTAGTTATTTATTCAACTTTCCATTGTTCTATGCCATTTTTCATCCTATGAAGGCCTGAAACAAAATCAGTGTCAAAATCAATCTCAACATTCTAAAATAATTAATAAATTAAAAAAATAAAATCTCACACATGTCACCTACAGTTTATTCTTTTTTTAATTCTTTTTTTTTGTAACGAAGGCAGCTCAAACTCCAAGTTCAAGTTCAAAAACAGCACACAGATTCAATTACTGGATCCATCCGACAGACATTTTTGGTGGAGAGTCCCTCCTTTAGCCAGCAGGGGGAGCTGTTGCTTAAATAATCTTCTCCCTTTAAATACAGCGGTTGCACACACACACACACTGTAGGGGAAAAAACAACATGTCATTCCTTTGCTGAATGAATAAAGGACCCTGGAAGCTTGATTGTGGTTTTCACTCCTTGATTAAAGCCCCAGTCCTGTTTTCATCATACAAATGAGAGCATAATAAACCTCTGAAGTTCACCTGTCACAACCCATCTAGCCCCCGGTGCCACAAAATTAATGTAATTTAAATTCAAATTTTCATTTGATCCAGTCAATGACACATTTACTTTCACATTGCTGATGAATCTGCATCTTTCAACACTTCAACTAAAGACTCATAATCAGCCTCATTATCAATCCTGCTGGATGCTTTTTACACACATTTAAGTACTCCTGCTTGTTGAATAACCCCCTTTTTCTGTCTCTCTTTCTTTCAAGACCACATTTACAATTCAAGTGAAATAACACAACCTTCTCACAGATTTGAATACGATTAATTTTGTACTGTTTTGTGCTGCTTGAACTTTCTTAGAGTTCACGGTAGATTGGCGGTTCTTGTACGGTTTGCATCACGAAATATAGTTTCTTTGCTGTAGGCTATGGTAGCAGGGCTGGAATGACTACTAAAATATCAAACTGCTGTCATTTTAAGAATTTTAACTCAACTACAAGTTAGATTACTTTGGTAAAAAATGTACTCAGATAAAAGTAAAATAGTAGGTCAGTTAAAATGTACTCTGAATACACAATACAGCCTTGTATTTTTAAAGGAGAAAGGGGGGCTTAAATAAAAGAGCATATTTAGACTACAAAATGAAATTAATTAAAGGAGTCCTTAACCCACAAATCATGTGTATAACAATTACTCACCCAACGTTACGTTGTTGTACTTTTGTCGACTTTTTATGCAGATGCATCAACTTGCGGCATCTTTGCTCTTTACACAAATTATGTGTACTAATACGTATATATGAGAGAGAAGAGGGAAGAGAGAGCTGAGATGGAAGGTGAAGCTTTCGATTCACTGGTCCATCTACGTCCCAACCCTCACCTATGGTCATGAGCTCTCGGTAACAACCGAAAGAAGATCGCGGATACAAGCGGCTGAAATGAGTTTCCTCCGTGGGGTGTCTGGGCTCAGCTTTAGAGATAGTGGAAGGAGCTCGGACATTTGGAGGGAGCTCGGAGTAGAGCCGCTGCTCCTTTGCGTTGAAAGGGATTGGTTGAGGTGGTTCAATGTCTGATTGGGATGCCTCCTGGGCACCTCCCGCTGGAGGTATTCCGGGCACATCCCACTAGTAGGGGGCCCGGGCAGACCCAGAACACACTGAAGGGATTACATATCTCATCTGGCCTGCGAACACCTTGGGGTCCCCCAGGAGGAGCTGGATAGCGGTGCTGGGGAGAGGGATGTCTGGGGTGCTTTGCTTGGCCTGCTGCCCCTGCAACCTGGCCCTGGATAACCAGATGGAAATGGATGACATTTGAGCTGAATAAGGCTCTGCAGTCAAAAAGTGACAGAGCTCACCAGTCACAAACGACAGAAAGCCCTCACACACCTTACTAAAGGTTAAAGTTCCTCAGTGGACACAGAAGTCACAGCTGAATGATCTACCATTAGTATGTTAGCATGCATGTTAGCATTTAGAATGTTAGCTCCACCCAGAACGCACCTGTTGCTGGCACAACATTGTGGGCGTGTTTGATTTGGGTCACTTAAGTGGTAGCTGGGTGGTGCATTGAATCACTGTTTAATTAAGGTAGATACAACCTTTAAAAAATATATTAAAACAAACTATGCTGAGGTACAATATATGGCATTACTTAAAGCTATGGTCTACGTTTAGAAAGATTGATCATTATTATTAACATCATTTAGATGGTGGTTATGGCCCAATATTGCTAGCTACACAATGTGAAGAGCAAAAGGAACCAAAAAAAATCCATTCTCTCTGGCGGCTGCAGGCCTGCAAAGAAAGTGACCAATCACAGCCATCCGGTCCGCATGGGAGTTACTCCTTGCTCAAATTTGCACTCTCTCTCTCTTACCCTCTGTCCAATCCCCTCGCTCCATTTTTACACTCTTCTGCTCCTCGTCCCGCCTCGCCCCAACCCCCCTCCGCATTTGAAAGTAGGAGCGGTTTGTAAGGCCCTGAGCGATTCAGCTACACGAGTTTCGATATGGAAAATAAAGAGAGCGACAGCAGCAAGCGGCCTCTGCTTGTCCCACCGGCAAAGGCCGAAAGGAAGCGTAAGTCTGCCTCTGAAAAGGCAGAAACGAAGAGGAAATGCGTAAACAATGAGTAAACAATGACGTCATCCTTTGACCGATGGAGAAAGCTCCGGCAAGATCTGGGCCTGAAAAGTGATGCTGATACAGTGGAGTTTTTGTTGAACAGGTAATATTTCGTTTTTATTGTGGATGTTGTGACATAGATAACTGTATGCCAATGCTGGCTTATGACTGTGAAAGCTGCCATTAGTTTTTTGTGTGGTTAGGTGGCGTCAAAACATTTTTTGTCTGCAATATTGTCAACACTTGTTTACTTGTTCAACGGAGACGTTAGCCTAATTTTTAGCATTGTGAGCTAAAATTGCTATCATGTTTATACAATGTCACATCAGCATGTTTATTTGCTTGAGACTGCTAAACTATGTTGTCAATGATGAAAGTAAATAATGTTATCATTGATGTCTGTTTGGAGGGGAGGAGGGGAGGAGGACACGAGTTTGGAGGGGAGGGATCATGGAGCACAGAGGGAGGGGTGTGTGTGTCCGGGGGGGGGGGAATGCTTTTTTCAAATCTTTCTCATTGTCTTTCTAAACGTAGACCATAGCTTTAACTGTGGCATCACTACCCTGACACTCAACCAGTGAGCATTTACATTTGGAACATTTTTAGAACATGTATTTCACTTTTTTTTAGTTTCCTCATTTGTCCTTCTTGTCCCCCCTTAGCTTGAAGTTGAAAAAAATAATAATTTACACCACCAACAATATAATAATGTAATAACAATAATTAGAGCAAAAATATTTAAACCCATCTAGATGTCTTGTGCATCACGTCCACAAAATTCAGACATAATTGGAATCCTTGGGCTAAACTTTATAATTAAAACTAAGTGGGCTCTGTGGGCTCGAGTGGCGTTCGGCTGTACAGCATGAGTTGTAATGACTAGCCCACCAGCTTAAAAGGGGATAAACTAATTTGAAATCAAATCCAGCCAAATTATTTCAATTTTTACATTAATATGACCTTCACGCTCACCACAAATAGCTTTTTCCAGTGCTTCTCCTCCTCTGCTCTGCTGACCTTCATCACACCACATAATCTTTGTCAATCAGCCCTCCTCCTCCAGCCTGAGCAGCGGGCTATATATTTAGCCTTTATTTGTGCACAGCCAATTTTCCACTGGACCTCCAGGAGAGCACCTGTTTATGGCTTCGAGTCAACTGCACAGCCAAAGTAATTCAGTGAACTGGCTGTATCATAATGGAATCATTTCTTTAATTTGAGTGGCGCTGTTCTTGTTATAGTGCACTTTAACTGTACTCAGCCTCTGCTCTGAAAGGCCCATCTCTTTACGGCAAATACAATGCTGAAATAAAATGTTCTCATTTGACATGATGAATTAGACAGACATATATTTAGCATCCACTTCGCATTTTATTAGCCAATGGTTTGAGCTACAGTATATTATTATTTTGGCATTCCTCTGACTGCAGCTTCAGTGTTAAAGACTC